TTATCGGCACCCGTGCTCAAGACGTTGAGATGCGGAACCGGTTCATGACGATCTTCGACAAGAGTCTCTCCAAAACGGCCAGTGCCCGACTCGCCTATGTGCTCACATCTCAAAATTGGGACACTTTGGGCGAAAGCTACTGGTTGGCTCAAGCATCGCATCTTCTCCTCGGTGCAGTGGAATTGAACAACAGCATCCAGCTTCATCACGAAGACTTCAAGACCCTTTCCATCACCCAGCTGTTCTCGATTCATGCCAAGGACACTAGAGAGCCTGCCAACATGTCGGATGACAAGTTTGACGCGCTGATGGCCTCCCACCGACGCTTTATGATCGAGCTTGGGGATGTCAAGGTTCGCGATCTTATTGAGCCCTTGACCCAGCTCCAACACGTCGACAACACGCTGGCTCATCAGCTGTGGATTTCTCTGTTCCCTATCTACTGGTCTGCGACGATGAAGGAAGAGCGCACAGATCTTGAGCGTGGCATGGTTGCCCTCCTCACCAAAGACTACCACAGCCGCCAGATCGACAAGCGGCCCAATGTCGTTCAATCTCTCCTCGAAGGTGCTGCCAAGGCATGGCCCGACTGCAAGATCCCACCGCACGTTCTGAAGTATGAGGCGAAGACGTATGATGCCTGGTACACTGCCCTTGTTCAACTCGAGAACGCTGCGATCAAGCCAGAAGTTGAGTCGGCGGTTGTCAGAGAAAGTAACCTGGATGCCCTCGTGGAGTTGTACGCTTCATTGCAGGAAGACGATCTGTTCTATGGCACGTGGCGCAGACGTTGCCAGTTCGTCGAGACAAATGCGGCCTTGTCTTATGAACAAAACGGAATGTGGGATAAGGCTCAGAAGATGTATGAGGCCGCTCAAATCAAGGCGCGCACCGGTGTTATCCCATTTTCCCAGGGAGAGTACGTTCTCTGGGAAGACCACTGGGTGCTGTGTGCTCAGAAGCTGCAACAATGGGAGATCCTCCAGGACTTTGCCAAGCACGAAAACTTCCAGGACTTGCTTTTGGAATGCGCCTGGAGAAACAACACGGAGATGTGGCAGACCCAAGAACATAGAGAGGCCTTGGACAACCTGATCAAGGGTGTCATGGACGCACCTACTCCTCGTCGGGCTTTCTTCCAGGCCTTCATGTCGCTTTTGAAGTACTACAACAAGCAGGAGACACCTCAGGAATTTGCCAAGTCTTGCGATGAGGCCATTCAGCTCTCTATTCGGAAGTGGCACCAGCTTCCGAAGCAACTCACGAAGGCTCACATCCCGCTTCTCCAGAACTTCCAGCAGCTAGTCGAGTTGCACGACGCCAGCGTCATCTGCAACAGCCTTGCTAGCACCAACCAGTCCAATCTCGACGTCAAATCAGGAGAACTCAAGCTGCTGCTCGGTGCTTGGCGTGACCGTCTGCCTAACGTCTGGGACGATATTACTGCTTGGCAGGATCTCGTCACCTGGCGTCAACACATATTTGGCCTCATCAACCAGACCTATCTGCAGTTGCTGCCTCAAGGGGGTGGTCAGAATGCTAGTGGTGCGTCTTTCGCGTACCGTGGTTACCATGAGACGGCTTGGATCATCAATCGGTTCGCGCATGTTGCTCGCAAGCATAGTCTGCCTGAAGTTTGCATCACGCAGTTGAGCAGGATCTACACCCTGCCTAACATCGAGATCCAGGAAGCTTTCCTAAAGCTGAGAGAGCAAGCCAAGTGTCACTACGAGAACCCTGAAGAACTCACGAGCGGGTTGGATGTGATCAACAACACAAACCTCAACTACTTCAACCCGCCGCAAAAGGCTGAGTTTTATACGCTGAAGGGCATGTTCCTGGAGAAGCTCAAGCAAAAGGAGGAAGCTGATTCCGCCTATGGGACGGCGTTGTACTTCGACATTACCGCTGCCAAGGCTTGGGCCGAATGGGGTTACTTCAACGAACGCAAGTACAAGGAGGATCCATCAGACATCAACTCTGCACGACAAGCTCTCACGTCGTACCTGCAAGCTGCCGGAAGCTACAAGAACGCAAAGTCGCGGAAGCTCATTGCCCGCATCCTGTGGCTTCTCAGTCTTGACGACGCCAATGGATCGATCGCCGCCGGCTTTGACGACTTCAAGGGCGAAACCCCTGTCTGGTATTGGATCACCTTCATTCCTCAGCTCCTTACCGGTCTCGGCCACAAGGAAGCTCCAAGGGTGCACCAAATCCTCGTCAAGATTGCCAGGTCCTATCCCCAGGCGCTTTACTTCCAGCTTCGCACCAACAGGGAAGACATGCTGGTTATCAAGAAGAACCAGGAGGCTAAGGAGAAGGCCCGCCAGCGCGCTCAGTCAGCACAAACCAACGGCAAACCCAGCGCATCACCACAACAACCCAAACAAGACGGTGTTGCCAAGCCTGACGCCTCCGGCTCAAGACCTGGAACTGCCAGCGGTGGTGATGCGAATGCTGCCGTCAAGACTGAGGGCAATGACGCCAACGGCACTGCGGCCACAGGCGACCAGGCATCGGCTGCTGGTCAGAAGAAGCCGCCTTGGGAACTTACGGAGGAGATCATGAGTGCTTTGAAGACAGCCTTCCCTCTGCTTGCACTGTCAATGGAGACCATGGTCGACCAGATTCAGAAGCACTTCAAGTGCCCTCCCGACGAAGACGCCTACCGACTCATCGTCGCCCTTCTCAACGATGCTCTCGCATATGTCAGTCGAATGCCTTCTTCCTTTGCCAAGGACGTCAAGCTTCCTTCCGCGACCGAGACCAACATTACCCGCTTCGCTGAAACGATCCTGCCTGCTCACATCAAGAAATCATTTGAAGCAGATTTTGTGGATTTCAAGCCGACAATGTACGAGTATATCCACAAGCTTCGCCGGTGGCGCAACAAGTTTGAAGAGAAGCTCGACCGCAGAACTACCCGCGTCTCCTTGGAGCAATTTTCGCCACATCTGTCAGAGTTCCGTTACCAGAGGTTTGACGATGTTGAGATACCTGGACAGTACTTGCAACACAAGGACAAGAACCAGGACTTCATTCGCATCGAGCGCTTCTTACCCAATGTTGAATTGGTAAGATCAATCAGTGCATCGTACCGCCGCATCCAGATGCGCGGACACGATGGAAGTGTCCATTCTTGGGCTGTCCAGCATCCCGCCGCAAGGCATTGCCGCCGCGAGGAGCGCATCTTGCAGCTGTTCCGACAATTGAACCAGACCCTGGGCAGGAGAAAGGAGTCCCGTCGCCGCGATCTCCAGTTCACTCTTCCCTTGATGGTGCCTCTGGCGCCTCATATCCGCATCGTCCAGGAGGACACTTCATACATCACTCTTCAGAGCGTCTACGAAGATCACTGCCGGCGTCACGGCATGTCCAAGGACGACCCGGTGCTCTTCACCATGGAGAAGCTTCGCGGCGTCCTTGACACGAAGAACTCGAAGCATGCTGAGCAAAGCGCGACTGCACGTCTTGAAGTGTTCCACGCCATCCAGGAGAAATGGGTTCCTCACAACCTAGCCCTGGAATACTTCCAGAGAGCCTTCCCCGATTTCACCGAATTCTGGCTGTTCAGGAGACAATTCTCATACCAGCTTGCCGCCCTCACCTTTATGACATACATCCTCTACATGCATAACCGATACCCGCAAAAGATCAACATCGCCCGTGGATCCGGTAACATTTGGGGCTCAGAGCTCATGGCCTACATGAGCGCCGCCAAGCCTTTCTTCCATAACCCGGAGCCAGTGCCATTCCGTCTGACGCCCAACCTCCAGACGCTCATGGGACCTTTGGCGACAGAAGGCATTTTCAGTTGCGCTCTGATGGCGATCGCGCGCTGCCTCACGGAGCCAGAGTACGAGTTGGAGCACGCCCTCACGTTGTTTGTGCGCGATGAGATGATCTTCTGGTTCACAAGCTCCCACCGAACGGTCCAGATGACTGAGAACCAGCTCCGCGAGTCTGTGCAGGTCAACAGCGACTCAGTCGTGAAGCGTGCAGTTAGCCTGGCGCAGAGCCCGGTTGGCAACCTACCAGCCAACCAAACGGTGATTGATCTGGTCGCTAAGGCCGTCAATCCCATGAACTTGGCCCAGTGCGATGCGCTCTGGATGCCGTACTTGTAAGAGACCAGCTTGGGGAAAAGCTGGCGGAAAGGAATGGAGAGGAGAGGAGAAGATGATTATACTGTTGATTGATCTTGTTTTCTGTATTATTTGAGCAAGGCGTTCTGGGATGCGATGGGGACGGAGGAAAAGGCATCCGATTCTACGTTGGGAGGACTCGGGAAAATGAAGCTTAGATGACGATTCCCTGTTGTACTTGTACGGCCTAAAAGTTAGGCCCATCATCAGACCCCTACTGGAGCAAGTTTGCTCCGCTAATCAGACTGTTTATTTGTTCAAGAAGAACTGAAGTTGAATTTGCCTTTGAATTGATGAGTTGATGTGCTTTGAGTTTTGGACGAACTGAACCTTCAGGCGCAGCCTTAGTGAGGCGACAACCGGGGAACTGGGGTCGACCTGGGGTCCGGTTGCAGGTCCAACACCGGGAAGTCGGTGACAGTCCGAACTCGCTAGTCAGTGGTCGGTCAACCACAGCCGATATCCCTGTCACCTCGAAAACACCCCGGTCAAAAGCCTTTGAACGCCCTTATCAACGGCCACCGGCGGAGCCAAGCTTGAGCTTCCTTATCGGGGCATTCCTCGAGATGGATGACGATTTGTAATCCCGGGGTTCAACTGGGGCCCCTCGATTCTTTCGTACTTGGTATCTTTTCCTCTTTCCCTACTCTCACTCTTATCTTTATATCGATCCCTTCTCTCATATCGTTGGGATCTCGAGCCGGACGTCGTTTGGTCTAAAGAATCTTGGCCAACCCGTTACACGACAAACGCCCAACCACTACGACGGCACACACGGTCACTTTCGTTCCCATGCCGCCGATGCAACCGACGACAGATCTGCCGTTCAAGCCTTATCGCCCACCGTCGTCAAAGATGTCTGCCGCCGCAATGGACAAGAAGCCGCCTCTGAACCTGGAGCACCATTACTCCGATGTGACCAAGGCGAGAGAGCCGAGCAAGATGAAGGAGTACTACAAGTACTTTCAGATTCCGGGCATTGGTCAACTAGCTGGAGGTGAGTTTCTGAGTCTGCATGCCTTCACCTTTTTTCATTGCAAGGCACATGTCGGATCTTGATACGGCACTGCTGGTGGTTGCATGGCGTCAATCAGAGCTATGTCGCGTGCGCGTCGAGCGGGAAGGATGCCGCAATACATGCCGCAATATACACCTTCCGTGGCGTGCTTCCACCACCATGTTGCGCAACACCAATTCCCAAACCCAATTCACCAACCGATCCCGGCACAACGCCCCAGGCACCTGAGTCGCTAACCAATCGGACGCCCCAGGTCTTCCTCATTCGAGCTTGTTCCCGTTCGACACCCTCGAGGCGCAGGCCGCGAAGCCCGAAAGATGGGAGCCATCCCCGATCCCCGACGCCACTTATAGCGCACCCAACGGCGCCGCAGCAGCAACACTGCCGATCCGGGGCAAGACATCCGGCCGGGATACGAAAGAGGACGTCAAGGCGGCGCGGCACGTCACCGTCCCCGGTAGCGATGCCGAGCTCGATCCACTCCGGCGCATTGACGTCGCCACGGCGCTGCAGTACGGCACTGCCGAGGGCTACCCTCCCCTGCGGTCTTTCGTGAGGCAGTTCACCAGGGAGCACCTGCATCCCAATGTGCCTTACCTTGGCGGTCCTGAGGTCATTCTCAGCTGCGGTTCCACGGATGGCTTTTCCAAGACCTTGGAGCTGCTGACGAACCCATGGAACCCTGCGAAGAATGACATTAGGGATAGACAGGGCATGCTGTGCGAGGTCTTCGTGTACAGTCAGGTTCTCACGCAGGCGCTCCCTCGCGGCGTGCAGGTTGCGCCTGTCGAGATGGACAATGTAGGCATGATTGCCTATGGTCCTGGCGGTTTGGATGAGTTGTTATCTGGCTGGGATGAGGCCAATGGCCGGAGGCCGCATTTCATGTACACAGTGACGTGAGTTCTGCCCTGCATACGACGTTGCGGATTAGTGTTTGCTAACATGAGATCTCAGCATGGGCCACAACCCGACTAGCGGCGTGCTCCCTGTTGAGCGTCGCAAGGAGATTTACGAGATCGCCAGCAAGTACGATGTCATCATTGTCGAAGATGACCCGTACTGGTACCTGCAGTACCCGTCCGCTGCTGAGGATGAGGCCAGGCACCGGGGCCTACCCGTCCCCGCCACTGCATCGTCGACTTACAAGCCCGTCAAGTCGTCGGGATACCGGTTCCTGGACTCGTTAACACCATCGTTCTTGAGCATCGATGTTGACGGCAGAGTCATTCGTCTTGATACCTTCTCCAAGACCATTGCTCCCGGATGCCGGTTGGGCTGGATCACGGCCCAACCGGCCATCATTGAGCGCCTACTTAGGTACGCCGGTCTGCTGTCTCATACACACAACCTCAAACGCTAACCGAGTCATAGGATTACCGAGGTCACGACGCAACAGCCCTCCGGCTTCGTCCAGTCGACCGTCGCAGAGCTGGTCATGGGCGAGCAACCCCCGGCCGTGCGATCAGCCTTCGCAGCCCTGACGTCGCGACAGAAGCAGACGTTCGAGGGCTGGAAGATGGACGGCTGGGTCCGCTGGCTCGAGGGCCTCCGCGGCGTCTACGAGCGCCGCATGAACCGCATGTCCTCCATCCTCGACGACGGCGCCGTCCAGCTTAAGCAGTCGACGCCGCGCAGCGTCGAGGATGCGGACTGGGGCGTCGTCAGCAAGACGCGGCTGTACGACTTCGACTGGCCGCGCGGCGGCATGTTCATCTGGCTGCGCATGCGCTTCGAGACGCATCCGCTGTGGATGGCCACGGGCGGCAAGATCCTGCCGCTGATTGACGGCGAGAAGCTGTCGACCGCGCTCATGATCTACGCTACGCAGAAGCCGTTCCGCGTGCTGGTGAGCCCTGGGATGATGTTCAGTGCTACGCCTGCCATCCGGGCGGAGAGGGGATGGGCGTACTTCCGGCTGTGCTTTGCGGCGGAGACGGAGGAGAATGTGGACCGCTGCTCGGAGAGGCTTGCCGGGGCCATTCAAAGGTTCTGGAGGCTTAAGAAGGTGGAGGAGATTGAGGAGTTAATTGGGGACATGATGACGGCCCAAGAGGAGGCGATGGAGGAAGGGCTGGGCAACTTGGGCACTTGGATGGGGTGCTAAGTGGATGTTGAAGCGATAACGAACGTGATGATCTCAGTATTGATGCTTCCGAAACACATGGCTAGATAGCAAGCATGTCACACACTTGAAAGAAAGGGGAGAATGTATAGAGAACTTTTTTGTAGCTACCTGACAGTAACTACGTTTTCCCAAACCCTGACATGTACAAAAGCAAGAAAAGTCATAATCACGTGTTGGAATTGAGTCGTCACGGTCCAGGGCCAGACCAAACTTTTGTTGCTTTCAAGGGAATCATTTGTCCATTGATGAATTGAGGTCAACATTTCCTAGTTGCCATTACGCCTCAAGCACAAACCATGCTAAAATGTAGCCCCGTCCGTTTCAGAAACCTCCGTTCCACCACCGTCGTCAAAAACACCCTACCGAGGAAGTAATTTACTTCTTCTCGGCAGCCTTCTTGGCGAATACCGAGGCGTAGGGGTTCAGGCGGAGCATGACCTGCTTGTTCTTCAGGGGGTTCTTCTTCTGGACCGCGGAGCGGCGGGTCAGAGCGTAGCCCTTGGGCTCGTTGAGCGCAGACTGGGTCTCGGAGCTGTTGATGATACGGGCAAGGTCGGACTGGCTGACGATGTTGGACGGCAGCAGGAAGTCCTTCTTGAGGGCGCTGGGGGTGGTGGTGGAGCCGTAGATGGTGTCCAGGGCCTTGAAGGCGGCGGAGGTCCAGACGACGAAGCGGCCGAGGTGGCCACCGGGGGCGAGCTGGAGGAGGTTGAGGGCGGTGACGGGGGAGGACTCGACACCAGGGATGTTGCGGAAAGCAGTGACGAGCTCCTTGCCGTCGACCTCGGGGTCGTAGATGACAAGGGGACCGCGGCGCTGGCGGAAGCGGCGGCCACGGAGCTTGCCCTTACCGGCGCGGAGCTTCTTGGAGCCCTTGACCTTCTCGACGTCCTCGCCGGCACCGACGGTCTTCAGGAGAGCGACGGCAGCGGAGGTGCGGGCGACAGCGGCGTTCTCGAAGAGAGCGGAGTCGACGACCAGGGGAACCTCGGGGACGGAGGAGATCTGGTGACCGCGGGCCTGGAGGAGAGGGGCAACGCCGGAGGCGGCGATGGCGGAGACGGTAGCGTAGCGTCTGGAAGACTGGTTAGAATCGTCGTTCTCGTATGTTCCCCAATTCTTTCCCCGCGGTGGGGCCTGAAGAAAATCTCACCTCTGGCCCTGGTTGACCTTGACGTGCCACTTGCGCCAGGTCTTGGTAGGGGCGAACATGCGACCGGAACGGCACATGTTACCGAAGGCGGCCTGACCGGCACGGTGAGTACCACCACCGGAGACACGGGGGATACGGGCAACAGCACGACCTGTTTGATGTTTCCGTCAGCTTGGGTGTTCCTCTCCCATCATCTCAGCAGCGCCTCTCAATCTCTTGTCGCGGGACTCGGGTGTGGAGGGAAAAAACTTCGGCTCGAGCCCTCGGGTGGTTCATCCAGCAGCAGCAGTTCCGGCTCCTTCACGAACTTTCCTGCCCGAGGTCCCTCGCCGTCGTTCACCAATGCGACCCTCTCGCCCTCCCTTCCAAGCAGATTCTTCTCGCGCGCGGTCGGATTGTCGGGGAGCACTAACCAGTTCCCCAAGACTCAGCAGAGGTCTGGTGACCGGCCTTCTCGGAGACGGAGTAGGGCTGGCGCTTGTTCTTGGCCATGCCCTTGTGAACCTCCTGGACGATATCGGGGCGGATAGGGCTCAGGAAGACGGCCGGCAGGGTGTGGGTGTTGCCGGAGGACTTGCCATCCTTGCCGATGATGGTGACGGTAGGTCTCGAAGCCATTTTTGATCGTTGATTGACCCTGTCGACGGAAGGACGGATTAGTTGTCTGCGAGGTGGGAAAAAGAGAAAGAGAAAGAGGAGAAGAAAATTCCAATTGCCGGGACGCCTTGCTGGTAGGGTGAACTTTTCGAGACAAGAGGGGGACCGAGAAAAATTCGCACGTACCTGGGTCAACGGTGGGCTTCAGTGCTGCTGGGTTAGTGACGGGGTTGAAGTTTGGCACTTTCTACGTTCGCGATAAAATTGAATGATTTTTTTTCCCTCTGGCTGCGTTTGGTGGGCGGAGACCCTAAGGTACGTACCGCTGTTAGCGAATTGAGCCCGGGCTGAGAATTAGGGTCACGTGTGGCGGGCGGGTCACAGTGTTGGAAGTCGCTCGCCGGGACGGACTGCTCCACATCGGCCCTTCATCGATTGTCCACCGATGAGATTCTGATGGACTGATGTCTGCCAATTGTATTGTCGCAGTGTCAAATACAGAGCCTGTCCGTTCTTTGCGGGGGCAGATTCCAATACGCCTTCCTGGAGCCCTTTTGTCAAAAATGGCCGATGATGCCCACTCATCATTGAATTGAGGTGCATAGGCTTCTTAGACAAACCAGTCCGGGAACCTCACGGGGACCTCGAGCGGCGAGATGAGAGTGATTCCTGGAGGACTGACTTGGAAGTTGACGCTCCCGTCGGATTTGTCCCACGATCCGATCTTCAGAAGGCCATGAGCCCATCTTGCCAGAGTCAACAATACACCTCTTGACTGACAGCACACGGCCTGCATAGAAACAAACGACTTACTTTCAAGGGCCCTTATCCGCGTTCTCAAGTTTCAGTCAATCAGAGTATCGATCATATTCTCAAATCCAGGGGCTTTCTAGGAAGTTGAGCTAGAGGTCACTGCACTGGTTGTCCATACAGAGGTATATGCGTACGCTGCATACGGTTGGTAATTGCTATAGAGTACATAGGAAGGAACACAAAAGCAAAAAAACAAGGATAATGTGCGTAAAGTACATGCACATTTTTTTAATGTCGGTGTAGTATACATAACGAATCGGACAAAACGCAAGGATCACTGCCGTTTACCCACTCCCCAAGCCTACAACCACAACCACTACCGCCAAGCCTCATTCAACAACTACCTCCACATCCACAAACCCGACTCCAGAACGCTCCAGATCCGCCAACGAATGTTGCAAAATGAATGGCGTTGCCGACGTTTACGATGCCGGCGCTGTACAATACGGCGACCGCTTTAATGCCGTAGACCACTATCACGGCGTGTCTGTGAAGTGACAACTCGTACCGCGTTCGTGGCCTGACTCTGTTCCGCTGGCTCGACCCAAGAGAGGAGTTACGTGAGGGTCCAGGGCGGGCGTTTGGCGGGTTGGCTCATTGCCTTCGCGGAGAGGTGCTGCCAGTTGAGGGCAAGGATTCTTATGAGTCGTCTGCTCACACGGGAGACGACGTGGCCATAATGGGAAGAGGTCTTGAGCGGCGCATGGCCTGACTGGGCGGACTCAAAAGAATGAAATTGACTGCTTGCCTGATTATCATAGACACGAACGCTGGAAGGGGGGGCACGCTGGCTTTATAATCGATTACTCGAATTAGAGAACATGTGACTTATAAGGACTGGAATCTCGATATGCCGTTACCCCTCAATCCTGAAGAAGCATGGAGGTGGGCAAGGTTCTGAAGTTCGTCAATGAAAACGCGGGGTGCAGGGACAGGCACGCCAGGGAGAGTTTGCGCGCAACGTCAATTGTCGAATGTTTTGTCGTATTTCGATGGGACGGCAGAAGTGATTCGGTCAGCATCTCAACTCATCGGAACTCCAGGTATGGACGACTTCAAGCTGGGTGGGCGGTGCCTCTTGGTTGGCTGTACCACTTACACCAAAGCTCAGTGTAAGGTCTCGTCACTTCTCAAAGTGTCACGCGGCTCAAGTACAGAAGTACAATCACAAAGCAGTGTGTAGTGGGCGACGCATCTTTTGAGCGGGCGACTACGAAGCTACTCGTGCTAGGAACTCGAAAGGGATGGATCGATGAGCCAAAAAAGATGAAGGCGATCATTGAATCGTGCTCAGGAAATGCAAAAGAAGAGGGCCCTAACCAGGGATCGAACCTGGGACCTCTCCCAGACTGAGATGTCGACGACAACCCTAAGGGAGAATCATACCGCTAGACCATCAGGGCAGAGAATACAATCTTTGATCGATGCGATTGTCGGCTGGAAAACAGAATATGACTCTCCTATCAAATCCCCGCAGCTTCTCCACGACTGCAGTCTTCGGTTCGCAACCTCGAAACTGAGCAACTTGCCTCCGTTAACCCAGCCAACAGCAACCTCAACTGAACTCGTATCTCTCCCGCTCAGCCCATACTCATGCGCATCAACGAGGTCTACCAACATCTGGCGAATCAACTAAGCTATCATCGCTATCAGGGGGCCCAAGACCCCTGTCAACACCTAAAAATGGCCCCAGATGGGCCAGAGATAAGCTACGCGTCCAGTGTCGCAATCGACCTTCTCAAAGTCGGCATCCGAGCCTCCTTATTCCCGAGACTATACAAATACTTTTCAAGGACCCTTCGCAGTGCGCACGTTGACTGACAGTGGCTTGCGATAACACCCCCAAAAATTCAACATTTTCAAGCTTGTCACGGGGGCGGGTTGTCAGTCACATGGTTCACAACACAGAGCCCGTCAACAACACCTGCGCCTTCAGCTCGGGCAGCTTAGCTCCGATGGCGGACCTCCGCACCGACGAAACCTCGCCGTTCCTCCAACGGCCTGGTAGTCCAGCGTTGTCCCGAGAGGAGGACCAACGTCAGGAGCAGCACCCCGCGGCTGCACGGAAGCTTACCCTGGTCAACGGCCTGGCCATTGTCATTAGCCTGCAGATCGGCTCGGGAATCTTCAGCGTGCCCTCGCAGATCAGCCAGTTCGTCTCGGCCCCGGGCTACGGTCTGTTAGCATGGCTGTTTGGCGGGCTGCTCGTATGGACAGGCGCGGCGTCCTTCATCGAGTTGGGGTTGAGGATACCCAACAACGGAGGGATCCAAGAGTACCTCCGGGCGTGCTACGGCGAGTTTGCCGGGTTTTTGTTTACATGGGTCTGGTGCACCATCATCAAGCCGGCGGCGAACTCAATGATTGCTACCATTTTCGCCGACTACCTCACCGAGGCGTTCGTCCCGGACAACCAGCCACCGGAGCCCTGGTTATCAAAGGTAGTAGCGGCCGGGTGCATTGTCACAATGACGCTCGTCAACTGTCTGGGCGCAACAGCCGGCGCGAAAGCGGCTAACCTGTTCCTGTTCCTGAAAATGGCTGCCCTTGCAACCATCATTATTCTGGGGTGCGGCGTCTGGGCGTTCGGTCATGGGGAAGGGGTCCCTTCGTCTGAATACGGGTGGTTCGGCCAGCGGCCCGACCAACGTGAGGTTGGTCTGTGGGAGTGGCTAGGAAACTTCGGGACGGCAACCTTTGGGGCTCTATGGTGTTATGCGGGCTGGGAAATGGTGAGAGTGAACCCTTCTAACTATGCCAGGCAACCTGCTGAATGTTCCGTAGGTAGGATTTGTCGCGGGAGACATGAAGAATCCTCGTAGGGATCTGCCCATCGTGATTAATGGCTCGATGATGCTAGTCATCACTGGCTTCATGCTGATGAATGCTGCCTTGTATGTCTGCCTGCCAATGGGTGTCATGCAGAACAGTAGTACAGTGGCAGTCGTAAGTTTGCAACTCTTGTCAGCCAGCAGATGCTCGTGCTGACATCAGAATAGGAGTTCGCAAATCGGGTTCTCGGCAGCTGGGCCGGTGTCCTCTTCTCCGTAATCGTCTCCATCTCGGCGATGGGCGCTCTGAACTCGAATGTCTTTGCTACCGCCAAGCTAGTAGTTGTTGCAAGTCAGCGAGGTTATTTCCCCGCTGTCTTGGCGAACCTGCATTGCAGCAATGAGAAGGATGAAGCCGGCTATGTCGATGAACAACTCTCTGCTTTGCCGAGACTGCTCGGAGGACCTATCAAAGGCTTCGTTTCGTGGACGCAAAACCGACGTTGGCGCAGAAACGTGCCCATGTGAGAGTGACACCACCCAGCCGAGTTTTTAGCTGACGAGAGAAACAGTTTCCCACTGCTGCTGAACTGCGGCTTATCGGTTGTCTACGTTGTCGTGGGTAGCTTCAACGGCCTTGTAACATTCATTGGTATGTACAACCACTCCAGCTCCCAGGTCGTGGACTGACAGAATGCAGGCCTGGCGGCGTACATGATCTTCTTCTCGTCCGCTGTTGGGCTCATTCTGCTTCGACGGAGAGACCGTCGTGCACCAGTAGCGAAAGCGGCCGAGTACAGAACTTGGCTCATCAACCCCATCATTTTCAGTGCCATTAGTGGTCTGTTGGTGGTGAGAGGTGTCATCACGGATCCTTTGCAGGGCGCGGCCATCCTCTTGGTCGCCCTCTTCGGCCTGGCCTTCTTTTCACTCAGATTCGGGTTGCGTGGCTTCACCAACAGGCAAGAGGCAGGATGAAGTTGTGCCCGGCGACGTGTGTCATTAGGGTATTGCAGCATATGCAACATGCTTTCTTCGTCCAAAATCTCATCGCCGGCGCGCGGTTGAGCCGGAGCATCGTACTGTGCTCGGACGGTTCTCGACACGCCAGAAAGGCGGCGCAGTATATTCAGAATTCTTGCGAGGATGGAACTCGAAGTCCCCTTTCGAAGAGCGTTGCACAGGCCGAGGTTTACCTGCCTCCCCACGTTCGAGCCAGTACGCAGCCGATGTCATCAGCAGCTCGGCGAGCACAGAGAAAGCAAAGAGCCGGATGAGGCCTGTGAAACTTTGGGCGACGGCAGAGTCCGTGTTAGGCTCGAGTGCTTGATCGTTTCCAGGCGGGCGGAATCACATTGTGATACCAATACAAAATATTGAGACCCTGTTGAGGAACCAGAAAAGAGACTGCTGCTCTGTGTGACTACATGCTAGCTGATGCACGGTGCTAATTGAGCTTGGATGACCTCACTCACGGGCCTCCGTGATTGGCTTCAGAAAAATTGACTAGAACGATGTTTATGCTACCGCGGCGACGTGATTGTAAGTTGATGTTCTTGTCACAGTTGACATGTACAGTTGTGGCGTGAGATATGTTGCAATCAAGTTCCCACCGCTCTTTCTTCCTGCGCAGATCATCGGAATAAGGTAGGGTTGACGGATCTTCGCATGACGAGCTGGCGTACATAGTTGCAGCTCTAAGAAGTCGGAGACTTTGAATGTTCTAGAAAATTCATACTTCGTAGTGCACCGTTGACGGAGCGTGTGCATGACCCGACTGCAGATGGCGGACGGCGGATAGAGGGCGGGTGAGTGTACATGGTGGTGGGGGGTAAAATTGCCGGCGTCTGACACGGTTGCAGCCTCTTTGCCTGGCTCGATCGGGATACGTAAGATGGCCTGGGATGCTGCATATTTTCAGTTATTGATCGGGTCCTAGACTCCCCTGATAAGAAATGGTATGTTTCGCCTGCTGCGTGGGTAGGGTTGTGCAAGCCTCACGGCCCGACAACTTTGATGGCGAGGTCGACAGATAGGTGCAGATGTGGTGATGTCGGTTTCATGGCACAGTAGAGTCCACTTTGCGCAGCCTACGCCGTTGATCAAAATGTTTCCCGACCGACGCCGCCTCGTGAAACTGGAGACATCGGCCTCCGAATGGGAGCCGGCATTGTGTTGGGTGCTTGCCGCGGTGCCGTTCTGCATCCAACGCCGACTAAGCCTCCCCATCGCCACGACTAGTTGGACGTTGACCAAGGGCAGACGGGCACTCCGCGTGGCGCATGCTCTTGCAGTCTCCAGCCCACTGTAACTGTGCGTATCATTTTGTCTTGACATGTCAAACAAGCCTTCGTACCGTCAAACAAGCCTTCGTACCCAACAACTCCGCACGTCTGGCTCGGTAAGTCTTGTGGTTCACCAGGAGCAGGATATCAGAAGTCATCGCGATTGTCCACCGGACGACGGTCGTTGGGAAAGGATGGCAAAGATCAGGCCGCGTCAAGGCAATCCGTGCAACGTGAATAATTGGAAATGGGCAGGCTGGCTGCCGTGGTACCGTGCCAGCTGCAGGCGTGGGAGAAACCAGTCGGCCAAGTGCCAGGCCCAAGACTCATCGAGGTGGAAGACCTAATCGACGGTGCCGGTTGCCCTAAACAGGTTCCCAGCATATGCAGTGTGCAGGCCGGACGTGAGAACCGGCTGTGAAAGTGGAGATGGCTCGATGCAATTGCACCAAGACCTAGGCTTTGGACTTGGGCCGACCGCACTCCCAAGTCACGCTTGAACGTCAGGCTTGGACTCTTGGTGGTGTCTGGGACGGGTCCCATCCAGCCCATCCCACATCCCATCTGCAGGACGCAGCAGACTGCGTCGTAGTGCGTGGGCATGGCCATCATGCTCATGCTGCTGCTGCTTCTACTGCTGCAGGTCGGGGAAAGCGACTAATGATGGCGCAGTATTGATTGGCACATCGAGAGTGAGTGGTGAAGGAGCTCTTGTTCGTGTCGAGACTGTCGCCACTCTCAACCCGAGAACTGAACTGGATGCCCTACTGGAATGGTTCAGTGACAGGCCTTACGTATTGCCAATTGACATGTGTCCGTATTCGACGTCGCCGACTATGGAGATTATGATGATGTTACCGCTGCCGGGCCGTTTTCCTGGTTCAAGACATGTGCCGCCGTCCAAGATCAGGTTCATCAACCATCAATGCTGACGGTCGGCTGGAGAACGACAGCGACATCGACAACAACAATAAACGTGAGATTGTCGACTGTAGCCATCAAGGCCGTTTCGGCAGGACGTGTGTCGCGATAAGCAGAGGGACCCTGCCTTAAACTTTGCATCCAACAACATCCAAGAGTCGCGTTAGGAACGGTGTCACCTCGGTGACCACAGAGCACCGACGGTGTGTGTTGGCGGCTGGTCTTTAATGGCAACGGGGAGCACCGTGGCACACAACACGGGCTGGACTCTGCTGTCGTCGGAGGTGAACGAACGCCCGGGGCATTTGGTGCCATTGGTGGTGGTGGTGGTGGGCGGGCGGTGGTGGCCCTGGACCCGGGCTGGAGGTGGAAGGAAAATAAAAAACAGAAGGCGGTGGAGACGTGCGGTACAAGGTACCGCCCTACAGCAGCCCAGCCGTCATCATGGAGGGGCACCCCCTCCCACCCAATGCCAATGCCATGCACCCCTGCTCGCCCATGACCATGACCATGGCCTTCCATGTTCAAATAAGGACTTCTTGCACCTACGCCGCATCTTCAACGCCGCTCCCCAAAATCCCACCTTCCCCCTCCCCGCCTGACACCACCAGATACCTTACCTGCCTGCGCTGTCTGTCTTAAGCGATCTCACCTCGCTCGCGCATTCACTCGATCCAGCCGGTCCTACCTTGCCAACCGCTTCCGTGTCCAAACCCGTCCGCCCAGATTCCCGTGCCTTCCACCTCCACCCGCAGGCATCTCACCTTAATTAACATCAACGCCTGCTCCCCCCCATCCTCCACCCGCCACGACCACTTGGAACTCACCTCGACTCTCGCTCTCACCCTCTGCCGAAAATCTGATCTCAACGTATCAAGTCAGCATCGCAACTCGGGATTCGATCTACTGATAAATCAGCTCTGTTGGCTGTGACGATTACCGCCAGTGCGACCCAAGCCGACGTCCCGACCCAAGCTGAGGGACAGAAACGTTGCGCAAGGCTGAGGCGGCCACACAACAGACCGCATTACGACGCTCCCGCTCTCGCCGAGCCGAGAGACACACGATGCCTTCAAAGACCCCGACATCTTCCTGAGATTCTGTACCCTTTTACCTTGGTCATACAGATAACCAAACATGAACGATTCACGCAATATTGAAGATCTTCTACAGACGGGCTATTTCACCACTACTAGGGCCAAGACTCCCAAGCCGTAAGCCGAGCCAAGACCACACATCTCCTCTCCAATGCGCAACCAAAGTTCTGACCCAAACTACAGATCCACACAGGAGCCCCCGGCCGTACCGCCTCACACATCTACCATAACCCGGTCGAGCTACTACGCCGATGCCGTCGTACCGCCGCCTCATACATCTACTATAACCCGCTCAAGCTACTACACAGATGCCGACGTAGCGCCTCAGTCATCTGCCATAACCCGCTCAAGCTACTACGCCGATGCCTATGTCCCCCGCACATTCGATGCGCCGATAAGAACTTCCCGCCGCAGGAATTACCCGCCTCCCCCAACCTGTGAAGATGAGACAGAGTCACTTCTCAAAGAACACGGCAGCGTCGTGTCGGCGTCCGACGATGAGCCTCCTTCACGAGGAGACGCCGAACAACACCCCATCATTATGGAGGTACATGAGTACAACCCTGAACGCCGTTTCGTGATCATCCCGAAATCCGACAGTGAGGGAGGAGACGGAGACTCCTCGTCAGACGACGCAAAATCGCGTTCCTCCGGCGGCTCGCGTTCTGCCAAGACAAGACTCAACGGAGATTATGGCGCGAACACATCAAGGAAATATTATGCGCCGCGAGTTGATGACCCAGACACCGCCAAACGGCCAGGCATTGAGAAGAGAAAGAGCAGACAGGACTTGCCCAAGATCGAGACCGACATCAAAGAAGAGGAGCCGCGTGTTCGGAGACACGAGCGAACGAAGTCAGGCACTCGTGCAGAACAGAAAGCCGACTACTTCTCTGCCCAGTACGACAAGCGGCAACCGAACGAGACATTGCTATCCCCCAAGGTCATCAAGCACGCAACGGGCGGTCGAGAAAAGGTCTACTACGATTACTCCCAGGCCGGTCGAAACGGTGTACCGCGGCCCCAACGAAGTTATTCGAACCTCGCAGACCAAAGGCGGTTCGACGATAATTATGGAAGGCAATCGTCGTCGAATCCCCCACCAGCTAGGCGCTCGAACACGAACTTTGATTCTCACAAGGAGCCCAGGCAGTCTTCTGGGGACAGAGTCCCTGAGACTCCTCGTCACCAGCGTGAACGCATCGTACCCCGTGGTGAGCGACCAGAGAAGAAAGATCCCACCACGCCGTACGATCGATCGGAGCAGGACAGAGAGCGCGATCGAGATCGCGAACGGGACCGTGAGCGAGAACGAGATCGTGACCGTGAGCGTGAGACGAAACGGACTCCAACCTACAAGCGCGACTCGCCACGTCGACGGGATGACAGCGGCTCCAGCAGCAGCGATTATTCGCACACCCCCCGGACGGCCAATGCCCGAAGGAGAAGGTCAATTGTGAACCAGGAGGGCAGAGAGAGCAGAGATGTTCTATTGAGCCCCGAGAAGACCCGGCCGTCTCAATCCGGCAGATCTAGGTCTCGTGCGCCAGCTGAAATTGTCAACCCATCCCCGCGGATATCAACCAAGTCTTTCGGCGAGGATCTCCCTCCTCCACCTCGCGTCTCGGCAACATTTCCCATCATCAAAGACCCGAGGGAGAGTGGTGATGTGCGGGAGAAGCCCACTACACCGTATCCTGAGGATGATATCCTGCCCAGCACGAGCCGTCTCAGCACTCGCGAGCCTGAACCTGTATCTAGAGCTCGCTCGCGCTCTCGTGCATCTACTTTCAACAACACCGTAGTGATGCCAGCAGTCATGCCGCCCATGCCTGTTCCTGCTGGACCACGAAGCCCAAATGAGAAGAGGAGATCGCCCGAAAGAAGACCTATCACGCAACCTGCTGCGATAGTCTCACAAGCAGATGCATGGCCCCCGGCCAGGTTCGATCCTACAAAGAGCGCGCTTGCCCTTGATGGACCAAGAGGCAGCTATCGGCGGTACTCGCATGACGCCGACAGAGGGGGCGTGCCTGACTTTCCTGAGTGCCCTCGGAAAAACGGCGTTGTTGGTTGCGCCGACTGGCTCAGTCTGCCACGTTGCGACAACTTCAACATCTGCCCTGACTGCTACAACGGAGTTTTTCTGAACACGGAATTCCGCAATGACTTCATGCCCATGCTGTTTCGGCCAATGGACAAGCCAATTGCTTGTGATTTTGGCTCGATTGGGTGGTACCACATTGCGTGGCTCCTTACATTGAAAAACCGACACACAGACTTGCGCCTTTTCTACCAGGTCGCCAATGTCGCCAGCAAGGTGACTAGCAGCAGTCCCTGTCCCGGAGATCGTCGCGTCACGCGCGTCTGGTATTCCCTCAAGAACCCATATACGCAGACGACCATGCCGGATTTCACCGTCTGTCACGAGTGTGCCAAAACAGTCGAGGGACTGTTACCCAATCTGCTAGGTGTGTTTGTCACTTTGCACCCTTCAGCGCAGCCGACCCGGAGCACTTGTGCAATGCACTACAATCCTGATCGGAAGCGTTTCGTGATGTACTTTGACGCATTGGAGACCACGTCAGATGTGGCTCTCGCTACAGCACAGCCGCCAAACATTGCCAAGCTTGTGAGCGATATCGAGAGTCTATCGGTTTTCACTGAGTGCTGCAAGGACAACCCAGTTTTTGACCAAAATTGGCACATCATGCAGTACCTCCCGCAGTTCACCGTATGCGGTGACTGCTTTGACGAGGTGGTGGCACCTCAATTGAAAGACGGCAACGTCATTGCGCGGAACTTCTACGTGAAACCCCAACGCCTCGAGGATGCAACGTGCCAGCTGTACTCGGCTCGAATGAGAGCCGTATTTGACAAGGCTTGCCGCCGTAACGATCCAAAGTACCTTGAGGTCAAGGTACTCGAGCGGCAGAAGATGTTCGTCGAGACATACAAAAGATTGTCCAAGCTGGAGCAGGAGAGGTCCCTCTGGGCAAGGGAAGAAAGCAAGAAGCTGCTACAGGAATGGGAAAAATGGGAATGATAACATGCACGAATGAATGAAATGAGAAACGGACGAGTATTATGATGAGCTTATACACCACGGCTTAGAAGCCGATAGATGCTATGAGATACTTAGAGACTAATTGTCTGTACGAAATGGAGTAAATTGGAACAATCTGATCAAGTGTCTTCTTCAGCGACACAAGAGTGCCGATTCAACCTGTGTTTTATTTAGTGAGCCAGTGTCGCACCTATTTCGGTCAACTCATCAACATAGGGAGATCAAATTCCTGCAACACCCAGGCAGCCAAGCAAGTATACCTTTAAAGCATAAGAAGAGGCTATTAGACATAGCGGTTCAACCATTTGTTCCGTTTCAGGTGCCCAATTAATAAAACGGCTGGTTCGTCCAACCCTTTTCGAGGAGTGTAGGGTGCGGAAAGTGGAGAGCAGGATGCTTTCACGAAGCTACCAACATTAAACATTAGCAAGAATTTACGTCGAAAACGGCTGCAGCGGATGAGCACAAAGTTTTATTTAGTGTTGAAGATACGTGGAAGCCCCTCCTGTTGGGTGAGCCGTTGTAAGGGACGTCAATGTGGTCGCTCCTGTGGTGCTGTGGTGTATCCATAATGCTTTCGCCAAAGATGCTCTTGGTATTTAATAACACTTCGGGGGCTCGCATGGTCATGCGTTCCCTCTATTATGGCATAGTCGTATCCAGAGGTACGAGAACGGGATAAAAAATACGTCCCGTGGAACTGAATTTTGGCCGATCTTTGCGACGCTGCTGCGTAGTTGTTTGTGGAAAAGGTTCTGGTGGATGATGTACTGGTCGTGTTTTCTTTTGCCGCCAAACACGACTGACTGACTTGTCATCGAAACCAGTAGTCCACTAAGCCAAGGACTTGGTGGAACAACAGACCTCTCTTTCACGAAAGCTTGATACAAGAAGTTAGTAATGGGTACGCGGGGATCGGCCATGGGGCCAAGATGATCTGTCTCCTCTCCACGTGCAAATAAGTCGTCCAGAAGCAGATCTCGCACGACACCGGGTCCGCGGCACTCATGTGCCTGGGAGATGTTTGGCTTCGCCTCGGTCGATCAATTGAAATTCAGAGAATCTTTTAGCGCGGAGGGGGCGGGATATTTGAGATTTTCATGCCCTCGCAACCTTAAACGCACCAAGGCCTGTGGGCGTTGGCCTGTGAGGCGCAGACGTCACCCTCAATCTTGACAGATGATTGAGTTGGTGATATGTGTGTGTGGGTGGCTGCGTGTATGGGTGTTCGGACTGAGGAACACCCGCTGCGACCATCCCAACCCAGGGGCTACCTAGACGAAAATAGTCATGCAGCAGTTCTCGTGAGAAGCCAATCGATGGATTGAGGGAAAGGAGGGGAGACATGGACGAGGGCCCTGGGCGTGGAACTGGGCGGGAGTGTGGGGCACGGACCAAGAGCCTCCAGGGGTTTCGACGCTATGCGTGCAGCTTGACAGCAACTCTGCCGAACATCAACTTGGCAACAGGAAAGCAACATCGGATATGGACCTCGCTTTCGCTGCAAGGCGCTGCGAGTGCATGCTGACGCAGAGATGCTTCGTCCATTGTTTGCGCTCTCCGGACGAGAACTGTAGCAAGCGACTCCACGGCGTTCGTGGTCGTGTCATTGCCCACTGAAATTTTCCAAGTTTAGAGAGAGATGTTCGTTCCCCATACTTGCAACACGAGAGTTGTGTCGGCTACTGTTGCCCGGGCGGTTCGTGAGGGAAACACAACGCAAAAGCTAATTGGAGAAAGAGAGACAGGCGAGGAACGCAAAGAGCCTCTTTTGTGTCTCCTCTCCCGCCAGCAAAGATCCAGATCTTCCAAAGGCTTGGCATACGAGCTTAAGTTGTTTACTCGTCCCTTGGTCTTTCCGGTTACACGTCTTGGAGTAGCAGGGGGCCTGCGGCCCATCTTGAGACGGAGAGGCTGCCAAGTTCGAACCGCAACCGTTTCACCTCTCCCAAACCCGACCGCACCGCCTCGCTCGCCTCGCCCACGCATGCCCACGAGATCCCGGTTTTTTTCTCACTTGTTTTTCGCAGTCGTCGAGGAGTCTCGCTGACTGTCGTGGACTCGCGGGGCTAGGGGCCCCGGTGACTTGCACGGCTATCAGGCACGCAAACTCGAAGGAAAAGGAGGTGCGGTTCATGGCGATGCAACACGATGCAAGGGCTACCAGGTCTGGAAACCTCGAGGAAAATACGGGGTCCGCGGTGCAAGAGGCGTCTCGAGACTCGAAGAAAAAAGTCGTCCAAACTCGGCTACGGCGCTCGTTCCCCTTCCCGCTGCAAGACAGCCAGTCAGTCCTGCAGGTCTGCATGTCTCTCTTCCCTTCTGGTTCCCCAGGTCATTCCATCTTTCCTTCCTTTTACCACCTTTGGTGCACTCTCATATGGGCTTCATTGGTTCTGTTTCCCTCTGAAGTGTTCCTTTCTTTTCGTTGAACGAGAAATCGTTTACGACTTCTCTATTCCATTCTTTACTCACTCCTGGTCGAGTCTCGCTATTCATATTCTTGTTTCATTGTTTCTCTTCTTCCTCCTACAGTCCAGGCGACCCTATTTCGAATTTTGAGTTTGTCACGAGTATCTCTTTATTATTACTTTCTTTTCTTAGCTGGGTCCAACGGTACACTCGATATAGTCGCCTCGGGAGGAAGACGTCGATGAACAACTACACTTAGGATTACCAAAGGAACAAGGAAGAACGACGATATCAACGAGGGAGCCTTCCACGAGTCTGTTTCCTCTGGTCGCCGACCCCGACCTTCAACTAGGTCATCGCACACATCAAATCACATCCAACCATGAGGGGGCTTCTCAAGTTCGCTAGTGCGGCATGCGTGCTGGGCCAGCTGGCAGACGCTGCTGTTACAGTCAATTTCAACAGTGATCAATCGATCAAGGATGGAGCGAGCACGATTGCTTTTGGTCTGTTGAAGTTCTACACAGGAAACAACACTGGTGACGTGCCAGGAAACCTGCCAGACCCTTATTTCTGTATGAGCACACTCAACCATCGGCTAGGATCCTCACTAACAACTCACAGGGTGGGAGGCAGGAGCGATGTTTGGAACGATGATCGACTATTGGCTGTTGACTGGAGACTCAACCTACAACGACGTGACAACGCAGGCCATGCTTCACCAGGCTGGAGAGGACGCCGACTTCATGCCACGAAACCAGACTAAGAGCGAAGGAAACGACGACCAGGGATTTTGGGCGATGGCGGCGATGAGTGCAGCAGAGAACAAATTCCCGGACCCGCCAAAAGACCAGCCCCAATGGCTAGCGCTCGCCCAGGCCGTTTTCAATCAATATGTCACCCGTTGGGATACCGAAACATGTGGCGGCGGATTGCGGTGGCAGATCTTCACTTTCAACAACGGCTTCAACTACAAGAACTCCATCTCCAACGGCTGTTTCTTCAATATTGCTGCTCGACTAGCGAGGTTTACGGGTAACCAGACGTATGCCGACTGGGCGGAAAAGATTTGGGATTGGGAGACGAGCGTCGGGTTGATCACGCCGGACTTCAAGATCTACGACGGTGCAGGAGTCGACAACGGCAAGAACTGCCAGGACAAGGATACGATCCAATGGTCTTACAACGCGGGTATTTTCATGCACGGTGCTGCCGTCATGTACAACCATACCCAAGACAAGAAGTGGTTTACCCGCACCGAGGGCGTCCTCACCGAAGCGACCACGCTTTTTTTCAACCAGAGCGCCATCAGCGAGCAGGCTTGCGAGCCTTTTACCCTATGCGACATTGACCAGCAGACTTTCAAGGGCTATTTGGTTCGTTGGATGGCTGGGACCGCGCAGGTCGTACCTGACTTGTTCGACAAGATCATGGGTCTCTTGAGGCCCAACGCCGAGCTAGCCATGTCGGTATGCAACGGATCGCCGGCTACTGGATTCAAAGGCAAACCCGGAACGGCCTGCGGCTTCAAGTGGAACCCCAAAGGCCAATTCGACGGTCTGGTCGGCGTGGGTCCTCAGATGAGCGCTCTCGATGCGGCCATGTATATGCTGGTGAAGAAGTCCGATGTCAAGACCGCACCCGTGACGGCCGATACTGGAGGAACTTCCGTCGGCAACCCCAATGCCGGCATGAGCTTGCAGCCTAAGATTCCCACATTACCGCCAATTGAGACCAAGGACAGGGTAGCCGCCGGCTTCGCCACGACAGCCATGGTTCTCAGCGTCGTTGGCGGATGCTTCTTCATCATGAAATGATGAGTGTGCATCATCAGTAACTGTATTTGGGTTTCGCTGGCATCTAATTCGGACTTGGCATTGGACACGGCGTTGAGGAACAAACCAGCTTTGAGAGCGGTTTTCGCATGGTATGGCCGGGGCGGCAGCAATTGATGAAAATATCCCTCCTGAGAGGGCTTGGGTTGATGATATACCCTACATACATATATATACATACATATTTTATTCTTATTTGAAATCTGTCCGCCAGCCACGTCTTCGCCTAGACTTCCCTATCTGCTTCGAGTGTTCGGACCTCGTGTGAAATTGTCGAGTGAATGGTTGAGTGACTGTTTGACGGAGGGTCTTTGCAAGCGACATGCGCTTAGCATACCTCAATTTTTGATTCATGGCTAGCTCCAACACGGCAACAGTTGCTGTCGTGAAGGTTGGGAAATGTCTCTTCATTTCTCTAGCGCGGAGAGCTTAAAACCTCCCAATTTTGACCATCGGCGTAAACCCGAGCGCTTACACTTTCCCGAAGTGGGTGCAACCTCCCCCCGCGGCCCCGCTTCACCCCGCGGCACCTGTACAGGAGGATGGGCGCGGGTGGGACGTCATGGTCGTCCAGTTCCCTCGGGGGCCAACACCCGACTTACATAGAGTCGGGTTCTTCCCGGTGCCATCCAGAATCCTTTTCGCGGGGTTCTGTTCTCATCTCCCCTCATTTGCTTCGGTAGCCCTCGTGTATCCTGAGGCCATCTAGATCGTCGTCCGTTCTTCTGTTGCGTGATCTTTCCTCTTTAGAGCTTCAGACTCGTCTAATCTCGCCTCACTCATCTCAACTCGACGGACCGGCCCTGAAAAGGAACAAGATCGAAACCTCCGTCAAGATGTCAGCCAAGCATTTCATCAATGATCCCACCAAGCTGGTGAACACGGCCCTTCACAGCCTCACGCTGACGAACCCGAGCCTCGCCCTCGACAAGACGAACAAGATCATCTACCTCAGACCGACCGCCAATGCCGCGCCCCAGACCTCCGTGATCAGCGGCGGCGGCTCCGGCCACGAGCCCTCGTTCTCCGCCATGGTCGGCAAGGGACTTCTCTCCGCCGCCGTGGCGGGAACCATCTTCGCCAGCCCCAGCGCCGAGCAGGTCCGCACCGCCATCGCCTCGCGCGTCGACACGTCAAAGGGAGTCCTGGTCACCGTCATGAACTACACCGGCGACGTCCTGAATTTTGGCATGGCCGTCGAGAAGGCCCGCGCCCAGGGGCTCGAGGTCGAGATGGTGGTCGTTGGCGACGACGTCGGCGTCGGACGCGCAAAGGCCGGCAAGGTCGGTCGCAGAGGTATCGCCGGCACCGTGCTCGTGCACAAGATCGCCGGCGCGCTGGCGGCCCAGGGACGGCCCCTCAGCGAGGTCGCCAAGGTCGCGCGCCTCACCGCGGACAACCTCGTCAGTGTCGGAGCCAGTCTGGAACACGTCCACGTTCCGGGCCGCGCGATCCCCAGCGAGAAGGACGAGGGTGCGCTGCAGCTCGGCGAGGCGGAGCTGGGCATGGGCATTCACAACGAGCCCGGCTCCGGCAGGGTGAAGGCGGATCTGCCGGAGCTGGTGGCCAAGATGCTCACGCAGCTGCTGAACCAGAACGACAAGGACCGGGCGTTCCTCAACGTCAACTCGAACGAGGTCGTTCTGCTGATCAACAACCTCGGTGGTGTGAGCGCCCTGGAGCTGGGCGGCATCACGGCCGAGGTCGCTGCGCAGCTTGAGGGCAGCTACGGCATCCGCCCCGTCCGCATCCTGAGCGGCACTTACATGACCTCTCTCAACGGTTTGGGCTTCAGCATTACGCTGCTCAACGTTGTCAACACGGATATCGGTGGCCCTAGCATGATTCAGCTTCTGGATGCCCCTTGCGAGGCTACCGGCTGGTCGTCTCCCATCCTCAAGGAGACCTGGGAAGCTAAGAACACTGCCATGAGAGAGGATGGAAGCGGCGCTGAGCAGGCCACTAAGCCCAGCGATCTCAAGTACGACGCTGCGTCCGCTACTAAGACCATCACCAATGCCTTGAACCGCATCATTGCTGCCGAGCCCGAGGTCACCAAGTACGACACAATCGTCGGTGACGGCGACTGCGGCATCGGCCTGAAGAGAGGAGCTGAGGGTAAGTTCAAAAACCAAGTCACCCAGCTTGGGACATCGCACAACAAGCTAACATTCAAAACCCAGCCATTCTCAAGCACATCTCCGAAAAGCCCCTGACGGGCGACGCTGTCGTCGACCTGGCCTCCGCGGTCCCCGTTGTCGAGAACACAATGGACGGCACCTCGGGCGCCCTCTACGCCATCTTCCTCAACGCCCTGGTCGGCGCCCTCCGCTCCCTTGCCCCCGGCACCGCCGACCCCAAGGTCTGGGCCGCCGCCCTCAAGCAGAGCAGCGACGCCATGTCGCGCTACACCCCCGCGCGCCCCGGCGACCGCACGCTCGTCGACGCGCTGTACCCCTTCGTCGAGACCCTCGGCGAGACGGGCGACGTCAAGAAGGCTGCCGAGGCGGCGCGCGCCGGCGCCGAGAAGACCAAGGGCATGAAGGCCAGCCTCGGCCGGACGGTGTACATTGGCGGTTCCGGCTTCGAGCAGGTCCCCGACCCTGGCGCCTGGGGCCTGAGCTGCTTCTTCAACGGTCTTGCTGGCGAGGAGGACGGGTGGGAGAAGTTGTAAAAAGAGGGAGCTGTTTCGTGATATCCTGCGTTTAGACGCATCTTGTTATAATTTTCTTGGTTGGGAGGGAAAAGCGATTCAGGGGCTGGAAGGGGCGGTTGCACATGTGTTTGGAAAGCGGCAAAATGCAGCAATGTCGGGAAATTGACGGCCATGGTAGCACAGAGAAAAAAACTTCAATGATCCTATTTGTCACTTCAACGCCAAGTTTGTCCCGTTTTTGAAGAAAGCCACTCTACCGTGGGTATTTTGACGCAATGTCTCCGCCCTCATTGACTCGCCCGTCGCTCTTTTCTCACGAGGCGACTATATCTCAATTGAACAGCTCCTTTCCAGCAGCTTACATTTCCGTATCGCTTGATTTTGATGCGGTCGTAGGGCATCGTGGCCCTATCGCTCTCTTCCCGGCGACGCGTCGCGGATGATGCAGGGTTCGTGGACGGTCGTAAAAAGACTAAGATTCTGAACTCGTTCGTAGATGTACAGCTCCTTCAGCTCAGGAGAACCAGGATGACACTATCACCGCGGAGGAACCTGCATCGTATGTTAGCTTGCGATGTTGTCATGTCGGGAACGGGGGCCGGCGCGTCGTGTTGCCGGCAAGTGTGTACTGGCATTTTGCTGATGAAACGGTCCTTGTTGACGGGACGGCCCTTCTTGCCGTTGGCCAGACGCGGGGTCTCTGTCCACATTTCCTGCGATCCAAAGTCAGCACCTGTGTTCCTTGATGCTCTTCCATCTGATGATCCACGGCGGGTTTAGATGGTCGCACCTTCACGTTCTCGAGAACCATATTGCAGTGTCTGTCGAAAGCCTTGACACGCGCCAGGAGCTTGCGGTTGTTTCTGATGGAGATGAGGACCTGGGTGTGGCTGCGGACGGCGGTCTGGAGGATGGAGAGAGGTCCGGCGCTGAACTCGTGCTCCTCGAGCTGGGCGATCTCGTACTCGGTGAGCTCGTTACGAGGCTTGGTGAGAAGCTCCCTGCATTGCGCATGTCAGCGTCGCGTTCTTTTCTTTCAGCAGGGAAACGGAGAAACGCACTGGATCTTGGGGTCGGTCGACATGATGGGCGATTATGGCGGGGAGATGGTCGTGGTGTGTGGAAGTGGGTAAGTAACGTCGCGAGTAATACTTTTGATGTAGGCCACAGCAAGGCTGAAAGAGTTTGGCGGTACTTGCTGCTCAGTGAATGGTGCGCTGATTGGCTGCACCTGTCCAGTGAAGTCGGCGCTGGCAAAAAAGTGCTCCCGTCCATCTACAGCGCGGGCACCCAGGCAAAGCTCAAGGTGCGCCAGCTTTAGTGGAGCAGAATGGCACCCGCACGCATGGCCAGTGCACCACCCCGGCCGCTGGAACCATCCAATTGCCTTATGATGCCCGTGGGTATCCTCGGCCTCAATTTTTGGTGGTGAGGAGCATGGAAAATCATTCCCGCGGCGTCGTCTAAATCAGTCCTCGACTCTTCGACCAACACCACCCCTCCACCCCTCCGTTCCACCAGCCCGCCAATCTTCAGTCGATGCGCCGCTTGTCCTAGACGAGCGCATAGGCAGCTGGCACACAAATAAATGTTCTCCAGGACGATTTCAGTACGAGCCGGGTCGGCAGCACTAGCTGCTCCTTGCAGGAGCTGCAGCAGAAGCTTCGGCATGCCTCTCAGAGCAAAGATTTTTGGTGCGCAAGCTTCGTCAAGCGCACAGGTCAGTTGTTTTACTCAATTGAGAAGCCTGCCAGAAAGTGAGGCGCTAACTGCATGCCCGCATAGATGTCTACGAAAGTCCCAGCCGAATTCCAGGAGCGCCGCAATGACGATCCCGATGATGTCCTCTTCAACAGTCTCTACGGTCTGCGGACCATCCAGCTCAATCGCCCGAAGAAGCTCAATTCGTTGAACGCCAGCATGATCCGCAAGATTCTGCCGAGGTTGGTGGAGTGGTCGAAGTCCGACATGGCGAACGTGGTGGTTATGAAGGGAGCCGGTGAAAAGGCTTTCTGCGCCGGCGGAGATGTCGCCGAGCTGGCCAAGTACAACCTGGAAAGCAAGGACGGGTGGAAGAAGAGCTCGGACTACTTTGCGCTCGAGTACATGCTGGACCACTATATCGCCACATACAAGAAGCCATACGTCGCTTTCATGGACGGCATCACGATGGGTGGCGGCGTCGGCCTCAGCGTCCACGCGCCCTTCCGTATTGCTACCGAGCGCACCGTCTTCGCCATGCCCGAGACGACGATTGGTTTCTTCCCTGACGTCGGTGCCTCTTTCTTCCTGCCTAGACTGCAGGGCTACATCGGCACCTACCTCGCCCTCACAAGCGAGCGACTCAAGGGCGTGAATGTGTTCTACTCGGGTCTTGCTACGCATTACCTGCACTCGACTTCTCTGCCTCAGCTCGAATCTCGTCTGGCTGAAATCCACTTCGAGGACCAGGATAGCATGGACAAGCGCCTGAAGATCATTGCAGCGACGCTCGAGGAGTACGCCACCGGTCTGCCGTTCGACGAGCCCATGCTCATCGCCGGTGAGCTTCGCGAGGCTATCGACCGCTGTTTCTCAAGGAGCAGCATTCAAGGGATCATTGAGTCGCTCAAGGCTGAGGAGGGTGAGACCAAGGAGTGGGCCGAGAAGACATTGGATACGCTGCACAAGCGCTCGCCCACGGCCGTCAACGTCGCATTGAAGCAAATGCGCGTTGGTCGCGAGTGGGGTATTGGGAAGACATTCCAACACGAGCACCAGATTGCGACCAAGTTCATGAAGCACCCCGACTTTTCCGAGGGCGTGACTGCGCTGTTAGTGCGCAAGGAGACCCCCAAGTGGCAACCAGCCACTCTGGACGCCGTCAAGACCCAGGATGTCGACGCGTTCTTCCAGAAGGAAGGCGACGAGCTGGAATTGCTGAACAACCGCAACTACTCTGAATACCCCTTCTACTTCGGATTGCCAACCGAGAGGGACGTCAAGGAGGTCGTCATCGAGGGCCAGTACTCGCCTAAGCAGGTGTTGAACAAGATGGTGAAGGACAGCAATGGCCGCCAGGGTGTCAAGCAGGTTGTGGAGGACATCTTGGCCAGGAATACGTCTGTGAACGACAAAGGCCGTGCGGTTTGGGAAGAAGGGGGCTGGTAGGCGTGCGGAGCGAATGAAGGTTCGCCGATGTCTCTCTGGAGCGTAGGTGTGTATAATACTGTAGATGCTTCATTATGTGTCTGAATAAACGAAAAGAAGTCACTTTTGCGTCCAAGTGCTGAAATGAACGTGCACTGATTGCCGGAATAGCTTCATCTCATTGGGGGCTTGGTTTTGAGCGATAACAAGCTAATCGTAGCTGATTGGCCAACTAGGTTTTGAGATGTTTCGATAACTAAACTTCATCGTGGGCGAGGTTGAGAGAAAAGTTGGGGTAAGAATGCCTTCATTCTAATAGGTCCGGGTATTGGTTGCGGTAGTGTTGCCTGCGGTCGGCAGCCTCATGAGACGTCGGAGTTAACGCGCGAACCATTTGACGGTTCGGATGTCGCCATCACAGTCATCACTTAAACCTCGGAAAAGTGGCAAGATGGGTGAAGAGATTGGCGCAGGATGGCTTCACTTTCATTGGGCCGGTGACACTAGGCTGGCCAAACTCTGTTGCGGATAGCAAAGGTAGGTGGAGATGAGTCATGGGTAGAACGCTAGCGACGAAAAAAAGCATTGAAACGGATGGAATGGGAGTGATGAATGATGAATGGGAAGAGAGCAAACCAACCTACCCAGCTGGCCCGTGGGATTGTACAGACAACGCAGGCGAGAGAAGAGGGGGACCAGGAGAGACCTCAGGCTTCAGGGGGAACAAGTATAAAGAGGGACGGGGCCCCGCCGTCTTCGGTCAGGGGAAAAGAAGGAATCTCATACAGAATTTCCCTCCTGTTTTCTTCAATCTTCAGTTGCAAGTTCGGGCGCCTGGACCTGTCTCCGGAGAAGGCCCCGGTTGCAAGCACAAAGTCCGACCAAAAGAGAGGTGAGAAATCGGCTGACGAGGGCCCCCACCCACTCCCGAGAAGCGAAAGAAGGGACCCACTTCCGGCATTCACTCACCGCCCGCCGTTCCCATCAAGGCTCAAGCAGAGAAGTCTCGATCCCAGCGTTCTTACGTAAGGTAACCCATTGCGCGCACGGACCATTCGGAGACTTCGAAGTCTCAGTCGCGGGACAAACGAGAAAGCGTGCCTGCACGTGTTTGGGCGCGTTCTGGATTCGGCTGTCCGCGCTGGGAAGCCAGGCGAGAGCAACCCCCTGGTCCAACGTCACAGAGCGGACCCGCCTAACCCAGTTTGTACCGTGACCTGCGACTCGCTGTATCTCCAATACACGCGACACAACTGCAGTCTTTTCGTTGTGTTATTGCTTCCTCTGCGTACGAATACCACTGCCTCAACATCTTAACCCTGGCTTTTGTACTTCAACTTGGAGTTTGGCTTGCCAATTCCTCGATTTTCGTTTTCTTCGTTCGTTTGAGGCCTGCAAACGAGCTGCTGCAGGTTGTCTCGGACGAGTTTCTGTCCTAAAAGGTAGTCGCGCAGGGGGTCTAAGTGGTTGATCCACTTTCTCAAAAACGCGACTTACACCAAAGCTGGACCCAGGACGCGACTACTTCACGACCACGGCCATGATACCCGCCCCGCGGTTTCTTACGTGACGCCTGCACTTTACCACTTTACCACTTTACACCACTCTACAAACACCAATTGCCAACCCACCTTCCACCCAAATCTCTCCTCCACTTTAAACTTTCCCTTTTTCCTTTTTCCACCCTTGGTCACCGCCCTTCGATATCGTCGACCTTCCCAATTCAACCTTCCTCTCTATACACGTCGACACCCACCAAACTGGACCAACACACGATCCGGCACTGAGAGCCTCGCCTACCATGGCGTCGCCAATGCCCGTAGCCCCCATGGGCAATTGGGGAGGAAACGGCCAGGCCAGACCAACACCGCCTCCAACGCAGGAGGCCGAGGAGATGGGGGTTCAGATCAAGACTATGGGCCGTAAGGACTTTCTGTCCTGGTGCTTTGGGAGTGTTACTGACGCGATTCCATAGTCAAGGTCACATACACATTCGCCGACAATGGCGAGAGTTTCCTGGCGCGGCATCCCCAGCTACTGCCTATCCAAACGGTCCCAATCGACGAGAAGCGTACTATCGGTATGGTCGATCTCAGTATATGTGCTCAGGCGGTTGCTAGGTGCAGCCCCGAGCTTCTCAGCGACAGCACCCGCGACTTTGCCGTCTACGCATACGACTACTCGGAACCGGACGAACCCCTTGTCGGCCAAGGCCTGCTTGGCTGGATCGTTAATCACGCCGACGACAAGAGAATCATCGGACGTGCCACCAGGAATCCCCTTTCAGTCTTTAGTGGAGGCGTGAAGGATATCTTGGAGATCAAGTTCAAGTTGAAACCCGTGGCCGCCATGGCCCGACCGCAGTACGAGCCCGAAATGAAGCCAGACTTTCGACACACCCTTCAGCGCTCCGAGAGCCACATGAGCGTTGAGATGCAGCCTGCCAGACCGGCTGAGGGCGTCGTCACGCCATCGAGCCATGCCGAGTGGAACGCATTCATGCAATCAAATCCTCAAATGGCCAGCCAGCAACACCCTGCCAGAGTTGCTTCGCCTCACCCACCCCCAAACCAACACGAGTACCAGCCGCCGATGCAGCGCAACGACTCATTCAACTACAACACACCACCACCACAACAACCGCCGCCACCGCAACAACAGCAGCAGCAACAGCAACAGATGCCGCCGCAAATGCTGCCTCAACTGCCTCAGCCACCTCAACAACAGGTCCAAAACTCTGAAGGACCCAATCGGGTTGCCCCGACGCCTGTTGACACAGCAACCGAACCCCAGGCCAATCCACCTTCGAGGCCCTCATCCAGGGCATCCAACCGATCCAGGAAGTCAAAGCCTACCGGACGCCCTCGTGGCCGACCTCGCAAGCAACCACGAGCTGAGAACCAAGGCAACACCTCAGGATACGAAGATGGAACCGATGGCGATGAGGGTCCGGCAAAGAAGAAGAGGGCTACCACCACTCAGGTCAACAACAACATCAACACCCCATTTGGAGGCGGTCCAGAGCTACTGCGAGTGGCAGCCAGCACATCTGGCTCCTTGCGGAGCCTGAGGCCAGCGGGCAGCCCTGCTGACGCTCCCATGGGCTCCCATATGCTGGAGGTCCCCAGAGCCCCTACACCAGTCCCTGACAGGGGGCCGTCGAAGCCGGCTGGCAAAGCTGCTAATGGTAGCAAGCTCCGTCGGCAGTCGACTCTGAGCCAAGCTGCGACACCCCCAAGCCAGCCTGTTTTTTCTGAGCCTCCCTTCGCCCTGTCTCCCAGTCAGCAAGATGGCCGTTCGCCTGTGGATTCTGAAGCTGCATCTCCGATGTACTCTGAAGACAGTCCTGACGCTATTGGGTCGTCACCGCCTGTCCCTCGCACAGTGAGCTTCGTGCGTTCGAGCCCGCCAGCTTCCAGCCCCATTCTCCCCCCAATGCCTATGCCCATGGGCCAACCCGCTGATTCTGGATTCATGAGCGGTAGCGTCGATGACCTGTTCGAGGATGAAGCGATCAAGCAGCTCCCCCATCCAGTCGCCGTCGCACCAATATTCAAGGCCAATGTCACAAAGGAGAAACGGTCTCGCTCTGGTATCCCAGTCCAAGTCTTCCAGTTATCAACCCAGCCATCTAGCGAAGCAGACTTTTCCAGAAATATCCAGCCTATGCCATCCCGCCCACCAACTTCAACACCTTCGCAGGAGCCCCCATTACCTCCGCCGTCGCGGAGCACTAGTGATCCAAGAGCATCTATGGCTCCTCCGCCTACTCAGTTGACGGAAAAAGAGCCTTCGCCACAACAAGAGGAGCCGGTTGTGGCGTTTGAAGCAGACGCCGAGAAGGACGTCCAAGCTGCTCCTAAGCCAGAGAACCCGCAGCCGATCGACACCGTCGACATTGCGTTGGAACAACTGGCCCAGGCATTACATGGCTTGCCTGAACCGGCTCTCCCAGAGCCACCAAAGGCCGCAGATGAGGCTGATTTATTCGCCCGGCCTTCTGCGCCTCCCTTACTGCAGCGCTCCGAATCCTCGGGCTTTTCCCTGGCTCTACCCACAGTCCCTGCCAGTGATCCGATCGGTCCACTGGCTCTGCCTGCCCTTTCTCAACCGGATATTACATCCTTTTCGGAGGCACCTTGCCCGCCTAGTGACGCGCTACAGGCTCCGAAGTCGCCTCAGCAATCTTCAAGGACGAACAAGAACTACGTCAAGAAGCAGGCTATTAGAGAGAAGTTATTGCAGGCGATTGAGAATGGACAGACTCCGATGTACTGCACAAACTGCGGTGCCATCGAAACTCCGACTTGGCGGAAGATATGGACTCAAGAACATGAAGGAGTGCCGGAGTTTACCGAGTTCTCCGACAAACCTGGAAGAGTCACGGCTATCTTGGTGCTCGACCGTGATGCCGAGGAAAAGCCCACGAAATACCAGGTCATCAAGAAGGCGCTGGGCCGTGACGACAACAAAATTGAATGGAAAGGACACATGCTTTGCAACCCTTGCGGCATCTGGTTGTCCAAGTGGAAGGCGCATCGGCCGCAAGAGAAGTGGGAGAAGGACAGGGGTCGCCTCAATCAGCAAAGGCGACCTCGTGGAACTGGACGAGCCCCACGACCGCCCAGAACAAAGAAATCCGGACCAAATCAAATGAACCCGACATCTGAGGCGTACTTCCCGACTGATCCTCTTGGGCCTGACGACCAGGAAATCTCACCGATGGATGATGAGAGCAGATCTCGAGGCGCCTCTCAAGTCAGCAATGCCAACGAGTCTTGTGATCTGTTCTTTCAGCAACCAGACCAACAAGACTCCCGCCCTGCGTCGCCTGGGAATGCCTCCAACGCTGGCTCTACTCATTCCAGAGGCAGTGGCACGGCTAAGAGCCCAATCACGCTTGATAACAACGAAGGCCACAGCAACATGGGCTCAACTCGACGACTGCTGTTCCCCTCTCCACGAAAGGAAGGCGCTCCGAAGATTTTGGGTGAGCTGGCCATTAACATTGTGCAAACCGCACCGGAGTCTACGGCCCCTGCCAACACAGCACAGAACAAGGCCTCTGAGAAGGGTCCTGGCAAGGACAACATGCCTGAAGCCACTGGTGCGAATAAGGAAAATCTCACAATTCCTGACAATGATCTCGAAGATCTTTTCCGAAGCCCCATGATACCTCGTCCATCTACGCCCCCTCCTCGCGACACGGCCCCTAATAATGGCCCCTTCAAAACGCCCACACGGCCAACCCCCAGTCACCGGCCGATCACCAGGAGCGTCACTAGAAGCGTTTCTCGTTCTTTGGATCTGCTTCGGTCTCCTGCGGCCGTTCGGCGCACTCCTACGCGGACACCTCGATCGGCTAAGGGCCCAATTCGAAGAAGTCCTCGCCTGCATCAAGAAGACTTCTCTCAGATGGAGATGGCGCTTGAAGAGTACCTCCAAACGCAGCCAATGGATCACCAGTATGACTCTGACATGCTCGAGGCTATGAACCGAGCGCTGGCAGAGACCATGAATGCTTCTGGCAACTTCGACATCACCAACATGGAGCTTGAGTTTGGCGACCTGTTGGGCACGCCCTCTCGACCTTCTCCGAGGGCTCGGCAGCAAACGGATTACGACGACTGGAACACGTGGGAAACCAACATGCGCGCTCGTCAGGCCGCAGAAGATGCCAGACGGCAATGATACCCCCGATTTAATGGAATATTGTTTTGTGCATCGACCTAGAGGGATGGGAGATTCGATCACGCAACAGCATCGCGAGGACTCGTGTGATTTGTTTGTTTTTTTGGGACTGCATACAAGAGCACAAGCATGTGATACTCTATGGGAAGGCGTTGCAACGCATCACGATGATGACGTTTTGGGTGTTATGATTACTGCATTGGGTTTACGACTCTAGTAGTATTATGATGAGTTGACGTTCCATCAATGGGCTCAGAACTCTTTTGCTTTCACATTTTACCGTCATGAAGCATCGCGTATCAGCAACATAACAGTTAATGCCACAGAATTACTTTGCTATTCTCAAATACAGTGCCCAATCAGCGACATGTGACCGTAAAAGCATCGGCTCTAAAGGAGCTTCGCTTGCTGAAGATGTTTGTGGCATTAATCGCAAGGAACTCATTTTCAAGGTCCCGGCGCCAACTGTACACAAAATGTGGCCAGTGATCCGAATTATCTTACATGAGTTGTCATTCATTCTGGTCCCTTCCTATCAGAAAGAGGTGGCCTCTACCAGATCAATGAAGCAGCGTTAATGCGCACAGCCGAATGATTTGCTTCACATCTTCGTCCTGTGACCTACTCCGCAGCGAACCATGAAGCACAATGTAGAGTCGATAGTAGGTGACTTATACCAACCGCAGTCGTGGACCGCTTCCATCTACAGCCAGATGATGACACATAGAGTACATATATTCTACACTTTTTAATAACGTCCACAATGGTTTCAGCATCCGCTGCGTCATATCTTCCTGGCTTGCCCTCGCCAGATGCACTTCCCGCCTCCTCACTCTCCCCGGAACATCCGCGCCCCTCATTTCTTCCTGATGAGACCCTTGGCGTTGGAGTATCCCTTGATACGCTTGGTATACTTCCACAGGTGCTTGTACTTGGGACCCTGGCGCTTGGCTTCCCAACCGCGGGCCTTCTTGGGCTCCTTGAGCGAGTAGACGCGCGTGGGGCGGAACTCGATGTCCGCTCCCGGGACGCCCGCGCGCTCCATGACGCCGGCCGTGTTCTCGTCCCAGATTGTGCGGAAGATGTTGAAACCCACGGGATTCAGACGGAACTTGTCGCGGAAGGACTTGAGGGAGAAGCCGTCGCGGCCGGAGTAGAGCTTCGCCAGCTCGGCCGTGTCGAGACGCTTGTCGCCCTGCTCGAGAATGAAGATGGAGAGGCGGTGGTACGGGCTGCCCTTCTGCGCGAAGGCGGGCAGGTAGGGGACGGCGAGCTGGGAGGGGTCGCGCAGCTTGGAGAGCGGGATGGAGGTGTTGGTAGGGGAGACGGGGACGTTGGCGGCGATGTAGTGAACGCGCTTGCTGAAGCCGTCCGTCTCGACGTTGGGGACGTCGGAGTCCATGATGACGATGGACACGAGGCGCTCGCCGGCGGTGAAAGGGGTCACCCGCAGCTTGGGGGCCACCTCGGTGACGTTGCTGGGGAGGATCTTGCCCGGGGGCACCTTTGAGCGGCGGAACCAGAGCTGGACGTCGTAGGAGGGGGTGAGCTTGGGGAGAATGTCGGGGACGATGTTGAACTGCTCGATACGCTGCTCAGTCAGCTTGGACTCGTAGCCGCGCCACTTGCGCTCGGCAAGGTGGCGGTAGATGGGCTTGCTCATGTCGCCTGTTCAATGCCATGTTAGCATCCAATGCAACACATAGAGGTCCGGTTTGAGTCTCTGCGCCGTACCAAGACCATCTTCGAACCGCCTCTTCACTGCCGGGTCGTTTATATCCGCCAGAATCTTGAGCTTCTCAACGTGCTTGCGCAGACTGCTCAGCTTCATCTGGCGCATCCGCTCCCCACCCCTGACATCCTTCGGGTCCATGGCCTCCAGCCTCTTGATCTTGGCCGACTCAGCAACAATAGCAGCCAACTTCTCTTCACGGTCCGCCGCCAGAATCTTGCGCGCCTCCTGGAAAGCCTGGTAGGGCAATTGCTCGAAGGGGAGGTTCTGGCTCGTGCGGATGGCGTAACGGCGACGTCGCGAACCGACGGGTGGTGTGCCGGCCTTCCACAGGTCCTTCTCGGCCCAGGGGGCCACCGCCGTGTTGGGATCCAGCTCGAGGGGGTCGGCCGTCTCGGGTCTTTCGCGCACCACCTTGTATACTTGGGCGGCCGGAGCCGGTGTCGTGGAGATGCCCCTCCGTATCGGCAAAGTCGTCGTTGTGGCGCTGTTCAGGCATCGCCGCAGCGGCCGGACGGCCTGCCTACACGACGACGACATTGTGCGGGCTGTGTGGGCGGTGGAGAGTGGATGTGGGTGGTGGTTTGTCTCGACGACAAGGCGCTCTCACGGCGAAGGAGGATTTTCACCCAGCTTCGGCGGGATGGCACGCACTTTGCAGGTCTCCATAATTATTTTTCCAATTGAATGCACGGAATATCCCGCCCCGGGGGGATACAGCCCAGCGGGCAGAGCTCCCACCTCTAACGGCTGTACGTACCGGCTTTTAGCGCTGTCTGATTGGTGAGGCGCCCGACAGACGGGCCAAATTTTCGTGCTCCTCCAAAGGGCCATCCGGTCGAATCTCCAAATCGACGACGACGGACGACCACCCCGCGGAAACGGATCTTTGATCAACCAGAACCCCGAGTCTCCTTTCCATTGCGAAGCCGTCGCCCGTTCGCACAATGGCCGGCAGGGGAGTCAGGAGCCTCACCGAGGCCATGAGAGGCCTGGTGGTCTCATCGCAGGCTTGCAGAGCGACGAGGCCAACATCTTTCCTCGGCTCATCCAACTTTACGAGATCAATGGCCAGCGAGGCGCCATTGCCCAACATCACGACGTCGGCGATCTCAAAGCCCAGCGATACTTGGGCACCAAGTATGCATTGCCCGCTCACTTCTCGCTCATACACCACGGAAGCAATTGCTAACAAGGCCCTCTGCAGCCACCTCCGTCCCGGTCACGATCCACGCCTTCCCGGACCTCGAGCCCCTCACCCTCGACGTCTACTCGCCGAAGCACCTTTTCCTCCCCCTCCGCCGCGATCTCCTCCATCTCGCCGTCGTCTACGAGGGCGACAAGACCCGCCAGGGTACGGCCAGCACCAAGACGCGCTGGGAGGTCCGCGGTTCGCATCGCAAGGTGCGCCCCCAGAAGGGCTCCGGCAAGGCCCGTGTCGGCACCAGGCAGTCTCCCATCCGCGTCGGCGGAGGTGTCGCCCACGGCCCGAAGCCGCGCGACTTCAGCACCCGCCTCAACCGCAAGGTCTACGACGTCGCGTGGCGCACCGCCCTGAGCTACCGCTACCGCCGCGGCGAGCTCATCGTCTGCGAGAACGGCATGGACCTGAAGATGCCGTGGGACTTCACCTCGTTGGTCGAGGCCCGGTGCATGCCGCCCAAGCTGGACGAGGAGTACAGCCGCAAATGGATCTTGCAGCTCCTGGAGGCCAAGCAGTGGGGCAAGGAGCACGGCCGGACGTTGTTTGTCACCTCTGGAGAGAAGCCGTGGCTCTCCAGGACCATGTTGGCGGCGGGTGACCACGGAAGGTGTCTTGATGTCAAGGACGTGGATGTGAAGGACCTGTTGGAGGAGGGACGTGTGGTGATTGAGAGGGAGGCGCTGAAGGAGATCATCGAGGCGCACCAGAGCGACTTGGTCAGCAAGATCTTCATCAACGGTATCACAAGGTCAGGCCCGGAAATTATTCAGTACTAAAGAGGGCGACGAGGAAGGTGAGAGGAAGAAATCTGTGGATATCGTGTAACACCAATCACCCAAGCAGCAGAGATTGTCTGATCAAAAGGCGCCTCTTCAGCGTGTAGCAATAGAAGGCATATCCTGCCATTCACTCTGTAAATGTGCGCTCGGATGTGTGTTTACGTCGGTCTAAAGTGTAAGGCCATAATTGAGTAGGCCAGATTTGCACTGCTAACGTTTGTTAGATGATTTCATGGATGGTGTGCGGTTAGGATCGAGAAAAAACGAGCCACACAACTGAATGAAACGAAGTGTACAAGTTTTGCTTCAACTCACTGAATAAATTGAGAACATCATGACAATTTGCATAATTTCCCTGAGGGGTAATGCAGAAAACTCATGGGATCCTGTGTCGCAAAATGGGGCGCCAACACGTTCAACTTGCCTCCATTCGGAAACCTCCTACGCCATACCGCGTCAAATTCCCTGGCAGAAACGGGTACTTTGCCCGGGTACCAACCCACCCACACCCAGCCAACCATGTACCGAACGACTCGTAAAACAACACCCCATGTTTTTCTTCTACTGTGATGTCGAAGAAAAAATGCAAAAACACACAATAACTGAATACTCATCAAATCGTCTGACAGTTTAATTCAGTTTGAACCCCATCGTTGGGGGTTTAACAGGGCTCGCCGCTCCCTGTCCTCGCCGGCGATTTAAGCCCCTGCTCCGGCCCCATATTTCCCGTCGGCTTGTGGAGCGGCGGCCCGGCATGCGAGCCCGGCCCCGGCGGCGTGAGCGCACGCACCCTACGTCATTGCGGGCGGCACAACAGCTTGGCTCGTCATTCCCCCCCTTCGACATCCATTGTCAGGGCACTTAGAGTTTCCCGACCAAGGACAACTCCCATACAAGATGTTCATTTATACCCAAGTTCTCCACTGAAGCAAGTGTCTTTGGGTCCTAGGTATCGATGAAGCTTCGTTTGGAAAGAGGAGGGAAAATAAGAGGCACGGAGTAAGCTTGCAAGCGTAACCATCAGTAACCTTTCAATGGCCTTCAAAATCATTCAAGACCTTTGTAGCTGGGCAATCAGAGGAAAGAGGACGTAAGATGTCCTCTGGTACCCTGTATAGGGCTCACCACATCCTTGTTTCCCGCCCAGATACATGCAGTAGTGGAAGACGACATGAATGACACGACGGGAAGGAAACACCTAACCCAGGGTGCGGGTTCAAGGATGCAGTTTACACACCCCTCCCCTCCTTTTTCCAACTCCCATGCGGCACCGTTAAGCGCGTTTTAACTTTTTCGAGTCACGGATACGCGACCCGTTCAAGGGGGGTGTTTTCGCTGTCGCCTGCCGGAAGGAGGACTGGTGACGTAGAGATGAGTTAGACAAAAGGGCAACATGAGGTAGGTAAGCTCATTCACACAGCTTAGAACTTCGCTCAGTACGATGACCCCCGCGCTCTCCTGTCAATGGTAATTTTCTCCCCATATGAACTGCTCAGGACGCAATGCAATGCATACTCACTCCGACGCGGAAGCGGGAAAGACGCCCCGAAGCGAGCAAAGCCCACCCAACGACGTTGCAACTGGGCCCAGGGAGGAGCTGTTCTGACGTAGTAGTACAGCCCAAGCTCCTAGCTCCTAGCTCCCAGCTCCCAGCTCCCAGCTGGCCTACGAAGGAAAGGGTAGCTAAGAACCCGTCACTTCTCCTACTTTATTTCATTTCTTCCTACTCCTACACGACAACTCGCTTCCGTCTCATGATATGACTTTCATCCCGTCTGCAACGAATATCTGGATCCAAGACTCTTCTGGTGTGAGCTTCGCCCTGAGCCATACCCTTGCGAACTGAGCCCGCTCGCTATCGTCTCAAACTCAAGCACGAAACACGTTTTTCCAACACAAAAGAACGATCGAGTTCTTATCAAGGACAACATCGTCAACGGCAGTCGTCGCATTGGAACAGACCCATAATTACCAGGAGGGCAACTTCGTCGAGAGGAACGATGGTGAAGAGAGCAGCCGCCGGTCACATCGACGACATAAGTAGTCAAGCATGCACAGCCAGGTCAGTTGCCCACCCATTTCTTCTCATTCAATTGATACCGTTGTCTCATCGAATCTCTTTTTTGGATATTGATCTGTGTACTGGGAAGAATCTCACCCGGAAGCGAATGGCTCCGCTCCGGCAGTTGGCCCTTGATAAATGGCCTTGAAGCCCGGCTAGTGGCCATATCTATAACTCGTTTCTTGGAGAACCCTGTCCCGAGGCTCCATTCTGTGGCATTTGCATTGCGCCCGACGATCCACCAGGGTATCCGATTGCAATTCCAGCTTTGCCTTCTGTTATCTGCTTCCAACCAATGCCCTTTTGGTTATCATTATACCCGTCCAACTCATTTCTCATGGTCAAGCCCTAAGCCCAAAATCTTTATAAAACGCCAGTACATCAAGCTTGTTCGAAAACACTATCTGGCATGTGGTCATAGTTGAAGTCCATGCTGCTCGCAGACCTGGAGGACATGCTCGTCATGGCCCGCTCAGATCTGGTAGGGGAGATCAGAGACATTTGACCTACGTCCTTGGTCAATTTCCCGCAACAAAGATCACAAATCGATAAACTCACTGTCGATTGAGGGCCTGTATCCTGGTCCCATGTCGAGTGGTCTATCACCAACCCCTCGACTAGCGTCGATGCTTTGCTTCTTAACACGTTCTGCGCTACTCTGAACAAATCGTCGGGCCTCATTTTCAAGCCATAAGTTGATGTTCGGGTCGTTGCAATTGGCATGGGACATGAGCTCATTTTTCATTCGCGTGACTTGGTCCACCAAACCGTTATATTCCATTTGCAGCTGAGCGTGCTGGCTCTCCAGGCCTTGCTTGGTCTCCTGCAAGTCAGTTACCCACTCCTTCTTCTTTTGTCGACACTTGCTTGCTGCTATTCGGTTTCGTTCCAGAAACTTATTACGCTTTTCACCGTCGCCGTCCCCGTCGTCATGAATGTTGTTATTGTCTTGCACGGGCGCCTTTCCCTTCCTTCCCCTCTTTCTTGGAGGGCTGACATCCGATGGCATCGTCGTTCTGCTCGACTTGGTCGATGTCTGGGTGAGCATCGAGCTGGTGGAGTCTGTCCTCGAGCTTGACTTGGAGGTAGATGGCACATGCATCAGCGTCGGTCGGTCGTCTACAGGTTCTTGCTTGGTGGTGTAGTGCGCCTGGTGATTGCCATACATCGCGGGCATGGTAGACATCATTGGGTCCCATGCACTCGGCATGGGCATATAGACTGATGGATTCTGCGACATTGTTGGTGAAGACGTGTGGGCTTCTGGGGCCTGTATTGGAAGCGATTCCGGAGGCAGTAGACTCCGGGGCTGGTCGCTGTCGAAAGACTCGTTAGTCGGTGTCGCAAGATCAACCGCGTCGTTGAAGAAACTGGGAGGGGTGTTCATCGTGGCGACGACAATCGGTTCCGTCTAGATGGTCTGGTCGTGGAAAAGGTCGAAGATTACTGAGTTGATGAAATTGGGGTCGTTCCCACACCTACCCGATACGATACGCTTCAAGTAACGACAATGGCCGACAGGACAAAAGGACGAGAACGCTAACCGGAACGATGGTGAGAACGATGGTGGAAGTTCGAAGCGGATATCGGAAGTGCGATGAGCGCGGAATGCGCGGGAAACGGTGTGGTCCTTTCACAATCTCAACGCCTCCGTGTACTTGGCGATGATTGAAAGTGCACAAGCCGTTGCGCTGCCTCAAGTCGGGTATGTGTAGGGAGCGACGTTTTCTAAAAGCGACAGTCGTTGGTTTTCAGTGACCAAAGCGTAGGTGCGCTTCGATGATTTGGGAAAAGATGGAGCTACAAGCACCAATTGGTCAGTCTTTACCATAAAGTATGACGTCTGGGCAGATCAGGTTGATGTGCAACGGGCTGATGGGGCAAGCTAGGAATTATCGATGAACAGGAGGCGGTGCAACAGGCAATGCCATGTCGATATGCATGGGCACTCCGGGAGTACGACGGCAAGAACAAGAGTACAAGCAAAGGACGAAGAGCGGAACGGCAGGACGACAGTAAGAACGGCAGCAAGGATGGTAGAAGGAGCATCTGAGAATACCTTGACTATCAAATGCTCGGAAACGGAGGGCCCGCTGTCATTGTGGATGGGGCGACGTGGGTGTTGCCCGCAGGGCCAAGAGAAAGCTCAAGGGGTGAGCCGGAGCGATCAGGCCGCTGCAACACTCGCCGGTGAAGACGCCGCCGACCAGACGGAAACGGCAGAGTTTGGGGGCGATGTTGGAACTTGGAACATCTCGCGAAGGGATGTGACGACTTGAGAAAAGTGTCTAATCGGCTTACCTGAGTCCAGGACCAGCTTCCTCAGAGCGGGTGTGATATTGCCGCCGATTTCAATGAGAGTCGTGCGAACTGGGTTGCGGCACAAAATGAGAAGCCAGAGCTCTGGCAACGGTAGCGAAACGGAAGAGGGCCCCGTTTCGAGATGGCGATGCGGTCTATCGTCTAGGGTAAGGTAGCCCCTGTTGGTTGACGAAGCTTTGATATGGCCAGGCGAGCGGTAAGGAGAGCAAGTCAATCGACGATGCGACTTGGATGCCTTTGTAGAATCTGGCCGTAATTCTCGACAGTGGCCAGTATCATGGCACGCTATCACGGTGTTGCCGGACGCGGTACCAAAATGCTGAAGATGCGGCAATCTTCCACCAGAGGCCAGCAAGGATGTTCAGGTAGTGGTGTGGGTGGACACTGCTAGTGCTTGCAGTGCGATGGAGCAGACCAAGTCGCACAAGCAGACGTCGCCGGCTGGGCAGGGATAAGCGGAAAGCGACGCAAGACCGGTTGGATGTGTTGAAGATGAATGACGACGACGGCGGCGAGGTCAAAATCGTTCTCAATCGGCAGATGTTACGAAGAAGGACGACGAGGATGGAAGAGGCAGCTGCGGGAGACGGAGTGTACTCCGGTCTTCAATGAC